CCTCTCATGCTAAGCTGTTGGTTAGTCCTCATTTCTATCTGAAATCGAATAAATAGATTACACTTAATCAGTGTAAATGTGAAAAAAGTTTGAACAAATTGAATAGACTAAAATGGACTGCATTAGTTTGTTTCAATACACTGAACACAGGAGACCTGGTTTCTCCTGTGTTCTCCTCATTTAGGTTTCCAAAACACTTGACAGTTTTTACATATTTTTCATCTTTATTGTTTGTAGCATTAATTTGTCTCTCTGTATGACAACAGATTTAAAATGATATTGGCTGTCATGACTGAGTGTCCGACCAAGGCTAACTGCAGATTGTTTGCGGCTGTAAGATTTGGATCACCATGGTGATCCAAATCGCCCATGGTGATCCAAATCGCCCATGGTGATCCATGGGCACCTGATGTCTTGAGAGCCATGAAGAATCTCTCTTTGACTTGTTCAGCCCAAATTCTCCCATAATCAACAGTTGTTTGCAGAACAAAAGTACGTTGAGGAAGTACATCCCTAGCAGATCACTACAGCTGGAAGATTGGCCTCTTAAATGTTATTTTGTTAATCATTTCTAGAAGTTTGTGAAAATTTTGTAGTAATTATCTGTGATGGACTGGCGACATGTCCAGGGTGTATTCCTGTAGATCACCCAACAATCTTTTTGACAGAGACCCTGACTGTCACTGAGGAGAGGAAACCCATTTCCCATGATTCTTTTAGGTTATTAAGCTTTTTATTATTTAGCAGACCATTTAATTTTAAACTTTAAATTCACCATTACCAGAAGGTCAAAATAAGCCAATTTAGTTTTGTGGTACTTTAGCATCATCTGCTAAAGTGTCACAAAAAGTAATGTAAGACTTAAAGCAAGGGTTTGATCATCTAAGTATCCAGTGTAACTATAGTTTTCTGTTCTGTCATCAACAGGGACAGAGACAAAGAGCAAAGCCAGGAGGCCTTTAAATAGGCCGGTCACTACTGTCCTCCATGAGTTTACAAATATGAAACTTTCTCACTATAATCCACTTGAAATCCATATTTTCTCTTTAGCACCATGTGAACAGAACAACCTTTGACCTCTGATAAAAACAGGAACAATATAGAAGGAGGTGAGGCTCAACGATTCTTTTTCCCATCATTTCTGGTTAGCTTTATGTTACTTTAGCCATTTTCTAATTTTTAATTGTTGCTATGTCTGATTTGTTTCATTTACTGCTGCATAATCCTAAGGACCCCAGGGGAAAGAAATCGTTTTTTATGTTCATTTTGTGAAACAACATAACAAAGCAAACAGATGTTGTTAGATTTTCCCAAACTGGTCAGGCTTCCTGTCCTGTAAAGTCGATGTTCCTGAGCGATGGCAGTGAAGCTATTTCTGCTGGACGATGTCCAACTGTCTGAGTGATTACTACCAAGGAGAACATAGGAAGCTGCTGGGTCAGCGCCAAGGGTCAGACATCTGTCAGCGCCATAAGCTCCTTCTACCACTTGATCTTCATATCAAGCTGTGCATGAGAGAAAATATGCTACTGTTTATTATTTCATGTCACTTAAAAAAAGCATAACAATGTTATTAAGGAGTTTAATGGAAAACTAAAGATCAAGATCTTTGCAGTTTTTTTTTTACTCTAAATTTTTCATATCATGAACCAATTTTTATGATGAAGCAAATATAACCTGTCTACATCTGCAGTAGTTTTCCAATGAGGGTTTTTACTGAAGGGAAACAAAGCAACCCAAACTTAGATTTGGGGTAATAAGCTCGTTTTGTAATAACTGCCACTAAAGCCTTGTTTCTTCTGGTAGGTCCGGTTTGCAACACATAACCGCTGCTTTAACAACTGAAGCAAAAATAAAATTTTGTGTTTAGTAAAATCAGGTCATATAAGCGACCAGCACCATCCCGTTCAGTTGTACAGGATGGTACAACTGAATGGAAATGGGACACCAGTACCAAACGTTTAAATCACACAACACAATCTATTGATTTGAGGACAGAAAACTGTCACTGATTGCAATAAGCTCAAGACTTTACCGTTTAAAGTCTGGCTTTGGAAAAGTTAGCATTGAGCCTGAACAAGTGGTGGTGGTTTTGTATCTGATAAGCGTGTTGCTGCAGTATTCTCCCAAAACAATTGCCTTCATAACCTGTGTTTCCATTTCCAATGTGAGCAAAACTTTGTCAATATTTCGCAAATGTTGAAAAACCACAAATTCGGAAATGCTGTGCTTCCATTAAATAACAAAACACAATGAAAATAGCATGTGAATAAGCTTGTTCATGCAATAAGTCATTAAAAATAATAAAAAAAAAAATGCTGCGCCATCATCTTCCAACTACTTCCTGTTTTCTTCTTTCAGGGGTTTGCTTCAGTGGCAATGTCTTGCTATGGAAAAATTACAGGTTTTTCCAAATTGGCGTTCATTAAGCCGATTTATTTTCACAATGTCAGGTTGCTTTAGTTAGTTCATTCAGATGCCAGCACAGGTTGACCTAAAATGTCTAGTTTGAGTTTCAGTCAAACCAGACAAATAAACAAGAAACCCCAGTGAAAGGTTTTCTTGTTTAGTTTGTTTCAGAGCTTTAGTAAAATAGCAATAACATTTTATTTATAACACATTTTACATGGAAATCTCAAAGTGCTACAAAACATTAACCAATGTAAAAGTAATAAGTTAAAAAAAAATCGGTCATAAGATGTTAAGAACAAGAATGTTTTCAGTTCTATTTAGAAAGACTCAGAGGTAAACAAGCCTCGGTTTTCCTGGTGAATCTGCACCCAGCTGTCTGAAGGATTTCATGGTCTTTATCGGCTTTTTCCCTTATGAAATGAGATCATTGTTTGAAAACAGTTTTCTGTATTTAAGGAGGTTATCCTCATCTGATGTTAAAAGTATCTAAGTGAGCAAAGAATATTAGATGTTTTCCATCTTTTTAGTGTTAATTGATGGACTCTGGTCTGTTAGGAAATCACCTTTTAACCCTTCTGGTTTGTTCAAACACTGTAGAAAGTGTTACAACATCTTAACCCACTCTAATTAAAGAGTAAATGGGTCTTGACAATCACCAAGGGTCATTTGACAGGACAGCAAATTGTATTTTGCAGAAATGTTTTAACTTCTTGAAAAATGAACATGTTTAATTCAACATTGCAGATAATGCAAAGGTGCATAAAACCACTATACATGACAGGATGAGGGCGCCATCTTGTGGACACAACCTAAAAAAAAAACAAGCCAGAAGAAAACATTGATCCAACAACTGGAGGTTCGACCAAGATGGCGGCTGGAGCAGAGGCTCCTTTTCGAGCTGTTGTGCCAAATTGTTTGATTGGAAAACCCCCAACTAAACGCTACACTGTTTTTATTATATACATTTTTTAAAAATAGGCTCAATCCTTTTTTGAAGACAAAATGTTTTCTTGTGACAGAAAAAGATCTTCTAAAAAAGCAAAAGCTCACCAGCAGCAACTTAACGACCAGCCTCTACTGTATTAAATATGCTAAAAACTAAAGTGAGTCGCATGTATACTTGCTTCAATAGCTCAAAGAAATTTGAGCACATTAAATCTGAGCTCAGCTTTAAGTCTAAAACCTTATGTCTGTTATTAGTTCTAGAAAATGGAATAATGTAAAAGTGTTTTTTTCCCGTTTCCCACTAATTCTTTTTTTTTTTTTTTTTTTGTTTACAGTCTCACTCTGAAAATTCCACCATTTTTCCTTTTCTGGCTTTGTTTTATCCATAACCATAGCACTGCATATTGTTCCAAAAGACTTCAGGTGATGTAAAAAGAAGTTGGATGTTCTGAATTACTTTTTTTATTGTTGTTGAATTTTCTCTGTAATCAATCCACAAAGTCTTTAATGTGATGAAACTATATTTAACTAGAAACTATTGGCTGGCCTGCCTGGTACCTTCGGAGGGACTGAACCGATATAATCCACCACTGTGATGTTACAGGAGTACAAGCCACCAATGCTATAAACAAAAACGAAAAATATTTAAAGATTGGACTTTAAGTGTTCTGCTCTAAATGTGCCATTCAGATCTGGTAGTTAAACGGATCCATGATCAGTTATAACAATAGACTTTATTTGAGACATTTATTTTAGATGTAAAAATAATGCAGTAATAATTTTGTAGACTGTTTAGTTTCTATACATTTTAATAAAATATCGTCACACGAAAGTCGCTTTGAGGATATAAACAATCGGCACGGCATTTGGTTTTAGCTTGTGAAGCTTGGGATGTGGTGGAACGGGAGATTCACATCATGGATGTGAAGCCGACAAATCTGCAGCAACTGAGTGATGCAGATTTATGTTAATATGGACCAGACTGTCTGAGGAATGTTTCCAGTATCTTGTTGAATCTAAGCCATGAAGGATTAAGGCAGTTCTAAAGGCAAAAGAAGGTCCAACCCGGACCTGAGTGAAGTTGCCCCCCCACCCACACACACACACCTTCTTCAAATCAGACAAAATTGCTGTTAATCAACTCGACTTTGTTTGTGCAGCAAATTTTTTTGTGTCAACCAGGTCAATCAAAATGACCTTTAAACTTTCATTAATATCTTCAAAGCCAAAGCAGCACAAACAAAAACAATTTGCTGCACAAACCAGCACAAACATAATGGAGTTGATTGATGGCAATTTTTTTCTAATTTGAAGAGGGTGGAGGAGCCAACTTCACTCAGGTCCAACCCGGTACTAGCAAGGTGTACCTAATAAAGTGGCTGTCAGTGCAGTGTATCTGTTCAACAGAGAGAGAGTTTCTCTGACAGGTGGAGATTCTTTAGACTCAACACAGAAACACTGAGGAACCTGGGAGGTGGAGTGAAAATCCAGGATAGAGAGGTACAATGAATTTGAATTTGAATGTGTGGAGGAGGATCAGTGAGTCAGATGAGACTCTGTAGAAGGACAGAAAGCCAGCAGGATAGTCCACATACACTGATACTCTGTTAGAGACGGAGGAGGAGGAGAGACATTGGTCGTCATTGTGCCAGACAGAGAAACCTTGATGATCAGAGCATCTCAGAGTCCAGCACTGATTCAGATCACACACAAAGTATCTCCAGTCTCTGCTGATTCTTCTGTAACTCACTGATACATCAACACATCCGCTCCACTCAACCTCCCAGTAACAACGACCAGTCAGACCAGTTCTGCACAGCACATTAGGACGATCAAATCTGATCGGGATTTAACCGAAGCTTCTCCACACATCACCTTCCTCTCGTCTTCAGACACTTTGAGGTTTCTGGTCGCTGTGGTTGTGTCGATGGTGAGTTGACAGAAATCTGGTGGAGAGAAGAAACACAATCCAGCTGCAGTTATTGATCATTTATTGAAGCTGATGATGGTTGCTGAATGAAAGATGTGACAGTTTTAAGATTGTTGCATGTGAGCTGCTTTGTTGTCATGAATCAGCTGACATGAGGCCATGGTAAGACCACACTGCCCCCATGTGGAAGTGGAGTGAACCTCCGACAAATAAACATGGATAAGCTAAAGGAGGAAGCTCACTGTGTTACCTCAGACATTTGGTGAGACATTTTTGCCTCATCAGCTAACATCAAGGCAAAGAAGACAGGCAAAATATTTTGAATGAGTCATACAGTGGTGCAGTTGGTAGAGCTGTTGCCTTGCAGCAAGAAGGTTCTGGGTTTGATTCCTGGTCCTGGTCTTTCTGCATGGAGTTTGCATGGTGGGTTCTCTCTGGGTTTTCTGGTTTCCTCCCACAGTCCAAAAACGTGACTGTTAGGTTAATTGGCCTCTCCAAAATTCTCCCAAGGTGTGTGTCCTGTCTGTATCCGTTTTGCCCTGCGACAGACTGGCAATCTGTCCAGGGTGACCCCGCCTCTTGCCCAGAACTTTAGCTGGAGATAGGCACCGGCAACCCTCCCGACCCCACTAAGGAACAAGGGTGTACAGAAAATGGATGGATGACTCATACATCAGATCCATGAAGTTATTTACAGGAAACCACAGAAAAACTGAGCTTAAAGCCCAAAGACCTGAGGAGCGCTAAACTGCTTTTGAAAAAATGAATGTGTTTCATACGAGCATGTAAAGGAATTTTGAAAGGGGGAAAAATTATTTTTATACATTTTACCTTCAAAATCTCTTCAGCTACATGATGGCCATCTACTCTTTGGTGGCTGTTGAAATTCATTTTTGTTCGTTAAATAACATGTTAAAGTTTAACTATGGTGCTTTTATTGTCTCGTTTTTGCATGAATATTGTCAACAGTCCGGCTGCACTAATCTGTCCACTCAGACATCTTTTGCCCACACAATTTATAGAACATGCAGCAAATACAATCTGCAGCACCTTTTCTGGCTTTAGACCCAGAGCTTCCAGACGAAGGTATACTGTGTCATAACACCTATGTTGTCCTGGTGCTTAAAATTGGCATCGCTGAAGGATGGTTGGCCTCTATTTTATTATTATCATTAATATTATTATTATATGTTTCCTAATCTTCCAAATATTTGACGATAGTTGTGTTGGGCGCATTTCATACTTGCAAAAAGCCTGTGAGAAACTACTTAACTATGTTTTTATCACATTCACTTCCATGTCAGGCTGTGTAGAAATATATGAGCCACTTAACTTGAAAAGTTATAAAGAAACTACTAATTTGCAGCCACAGCACACAGTTATTGTTTTGGCCCAGCTTTACACATTAATCTTTTATTGAATTGCTAAGCATTGTAATAATGACAAAAAAACCTTCATTCAAACATGTTGTAGTTATTCCATTGAACACTGTGGTATTCAGTTGTTGAGCTCGGCTGCAGGAATTTAACCATCTTTTACATTTTTTCCAGACTCCGTTTGTGTTTTGGAAGTGGAATGAACTTTGTTCTGCCCTCTAAGTGATCTGGGTAAAGAGAGTATCAGGTGCATGTTCCTCACTGATAATGTCAGCCATTTTTTCAGATTATTTTCCACCAAATCCTTATGACCATTGCACATTTGTAATAATAAACCCCAACGCTTTGTCGGAGGTTCAGTTCCTCCAGGAAAGGAGTTTTTAATTTTGGAGGAAACTAGACCAGCAATTGGTCAGACACTGAAACACACACTGGATTGATGGACAGGTGATGTCATGTCAGATGAAAAACACACTTACACTTCCTAAGACCTGGTGTCAAACTTTGGACTCCAGCAGGCTCCACCCTGAAAGAAGGAGGGACGTCAGATCATCAGTGTCTTTCAGTAGCAAACATGGACATTATATGTCTCTCTGCTTTTCCTCCACTGAGACAGGAACAGTCCAACATATGGACTCATTCACTTGTTGTAAACTTCCAGAGAAAGAAAGAGCAGACATGGGCTGTGATGATGATGAAGATGAAAACATTTCAAACTGAGGTGGATATAAGAAGGACAACTCATTTCTCCAAACACAGGAAAATCTCCAACAGAGAGGAGAAAGGAAATCCCTCCATAACAACCCAAAGAAACTCACTGAAGCCTAAAAGGACATCAGAAAACTAAGGAAACATTTCTAGAAGCCACCAGGTGGCGCTGACTACATTTACAATCAGACCAAGAACAAGATGCAGTGTCCTGGAGTAAAGGGTTGTGAAAGTGTCCAAGGAGCATCTTTGTTGCATCTTCTCCTGTTCAGCTCTACATGCCTGTCAGACTTCAGCTCCTGCTGAGCCTGGAACAGACTCAGACTGTCAAACATCCTGACATCTTCAGGGTTTCCCTCAGTGTATTAGGTAACACTTTATTTGAAGGGGGTTGAATAATACTGACATGACACTTTCATAAACATGACATAACACCTGTCATGAACATGAATAAGCCTTCATGAATATTTATGACTGTTGTCATAAAGCGTCATTCAGTAAATTATGACACTTTTAATACAAAGTTGACATTATTCAAAATGTCTTTGTTATGACAACTTGACATTAACCAAGAAATCATTACTGATATAAATTTGTTATAAAAGAATTACTGATTGCACTTTAAAAATTAGGTAACTTTACGTTATTGCAGGTAAAGTTTAAACTTAAGCTGTGTTAATTTAATCTTACCTACTTTACCTTTTCAAAAGGCTGCCATTTTACTTTTATAACTGCATGGTGTGTTTTATTACACTCTGTTTGCCCAGATAAGGGGCACGTTATGCACGTTCTGTTTTGCAGTGGATTTCCTCCCGCATTATTTTCCTCCAACAAATTATTCCAGTGACTGAAACACATACAGCTTTTAACCTTCGTCTTCCCATTTCTGACGCTGGAATTCAATATCCTCAAGCTCTGAAATACCAGGCAGCTACAAACCACATGTTAGCTTTAGTGGCTAAGTGTTGGCTATAGTCCGTTGTCGCCTTGATATTAGCAGAAAAATGAGAAAAATAATCACTGGATTGTACGAGCTAATTACTGGACACAACGGCACACAATAAAACTCAGTTGTACCAGGAGCTCAAAGATATTTGAACTTTTGTGTCTTGTTCACTACAGCTCTTGCTATGGCTAAAAACAATAGGAGCAAGCAGGACCCAGAAACAATCTATGTAGCGAAAATGTAAACAGAAGTACATCACCACTACTCTTGGCATATAGGCCATTGATAAATTATTGAAATAACATTTACATCCTCATTGACGGAAAATAATGGAGAGAAATCTGGTTTCAACAGCATTAATAACATTGTACCTGAGAGTTGTCAGTTTGCAGTTTGGACTCTTCAGTCCAGCATAAAGAAGCTCCACTGCTGAATCCTGAAGGTTGTTGTGACTCAGGTCCAGTTCTGTCAGACTGCAGGACTGGGAGCTGAGGACTGAGGTCAGAGCTACACAGCTTCTCTCTGTGAGGTTACAGTCACTCAGTCTGAGGAGACAAGGAGAAATATCTGGAACAATCAATCCATCATATAAAGCTAAGAAAATCAAGAATGCAGTGGTTTGTATTCAAAGAGTATTGTAAGGAAGGTTAAACTTTATTAGACTTCGAGTTTGGTTTTGTATTTTAGTTCTCCGAGCCTAAATTAGATCAGCGAATGCAACACAGCTCTGGAGGGAAGGCTAGTATCACGAGATCGTGTTGTTCATGTTGTTGGTAATGGCTCTCACTGCTCACTGCTCGGACATTGCTAAATGCTGTCTGTGCCAGAGCTAGAGGCCAGAAACCACACAGTTCTTCCGTTGAAACAGCTCAGTTGCCATTGTAACTCATTGTTGCTGGAAGAAGTAAAGTTCATGCAAGAAATCCTTCTTTTTTTTTGTCATGAATCTTCGCTACCCACACACCTCCGTCACACCGGGAACCAAAAGCACGACAGTATAAAAGGTCAAAAGACAAAAGTTGATCAATCTATTGTTGAAATAATATTTACATAATCATTGATGGAAGGTAATGGAGAGAAATCTGGTTTCAACAGAATTAATAACATTGTACCTGAGAGTTGTCAAGTTGCAGTTTGGACTCTTCAGGCCAGCATAAAGAAGCTCCACTCCTGAATCCCGAAGGTTGTTGTGACTCAGGTCCAGTTCTGTCAGACTGCAGGACTGGGAGCTTAGAAGTGAGAACAGAGCTCCACAACTTTTCTCTGAGAGTTTACAGTCACTCAGTCTGAGGAGACAGTGAGAAATATCTGGGATTAAAGAAGTTGTCATCCATTCATCATGGATGAAATGAAGTTGAGAAAAACAAGAAGCAATGGTTTGCATTCAAAAGAAGAAAATGTCCACAAACAAAAGTTGATCGATCTATTATTGAAATAACATTTACATCATCAATAGAAGGTAATGGAGAGAAATCTGATTTCAACAGAACTGAGAACATTGTACCTGAGAGTCATCAGTTTGCAGTTTGGATGATTCAGACCAACAAATAGAATATTTGCTCCTGAATCCTGAAGGTCATTGTCACTCAGGTCCAAATCTCTGAGACAGCAGGACGGGGACCTCAGGACTGAAGACAGAGCTACACAGCTTGTTTTTGACAGTTTAGAGCAACTCAGTCTGAGGAGACAGGGAGAAAATCTGGAATTAAACAATCATCCATCCATCATGGATGAAATAAAGTTAAGACAAGAAAGCAGTGGTTTGCTTTCAAAGGGACAAAATGTCAGAAAACAAAAGTTGATCAGTCCATTATTGAAATTGACATTAAAATCTAATTAGTTCACCTCACTTAAAAAGTTATGCAAACTCATTGTATGAGAAAATTAAGCAAAGTAATGTTAAGATTAGTGCATAAGTAAACCTCATTTATTTTAAGTAAACAGTACTAAATCAAGTAGTACAATTAACGAAAACTATATTCATGTAACAAAATTTTCTTGATTGAGTTCTTGTCCTTCCTCTCTTGCTTCTTTTTTAAAGGTTTTGTTGGCTCTAGTGGTCTTTGAGAGTGGTCAGACAGGAAAGTGGATAATGAGAGAGGAGGAAGACATGTGGCAAAGGTCATCAGGCCGAGAATCGAACCCGTGACAGCCATGTTGAGGACTAAGGCCTTCATATGGGTTGTGCTTTATCCTGAGCCACAGCAGCACCGCTTGATCCCACTTCATACAATTTATAATTACACGAAATATTTGAAATACATAATTTATACAAAAAAATATTCAGTCTGATAAAATAAACAATTAATTCACTCTCACTCTCGACCCTCACTGTCCGCTTGTGCATCATAGTTACAGGAACACCAGAAACACAAAACAAAGGTTCCAGCTTTGGACTGTTGCATGTAGAAAAAAAAGAATTAATTTCATTAATGGCCCAACAAAAGAAAACGAAACAAAACATTAATCTAGTTGACTGCAGCCTGGCTTACGGTAAAAATAATACATGGAGACTTGTTCTGATGTTCTGCTATGTGATTGAGCTCCTGTTCATGGAAATGCAGGGATTAGTCTCTTCATGAGTGAGATGAGATAAAATACTGGCTCAAGAAAAGAAAAAAAAAAACTCAAGTAAAGAATTTGTACTTGGATGCATGCAGTAGTAACAAAGTACTCTCCAACACAGAAAATATCCAACAATTTAGAGTTGGATTTCTAAATTAAACCCTGATGAAGGTTTTAATGGCAGATATCTTTATATTTTTGTGTTTATGCTGCTCATGTTTTTTAAATGCATAAATTTGAAAAAAGTAATGAGAGACCTTTCAACCACAAATTCCAAGTAACTTACAAAGATTGAGTGTTGATAGCAATTTGATAAAAACTGATTTAAGTCAACCTACTATTTTCAATAAAATACAATTTTGCATTTACTGTGTACATCCTGATTGATGGAAGGTAATGGAGAGAAATCTGGTTTCAACAGCATTAATAACATTGTACCTGAGAGTCGTCAGGTTGCAGTTTGGACTCTCCAGTCCAACATAAAGAAGCTCCACTCCTGAATCCTGAAGGTTGTTGTGACTCAGGTCCAGTTCTGTCAGACTGCAGGACTGGGAGCTGAGGACTGAGGTCAGAGCTTCACAGCTTCTCTCTGAGAGGTTACAGTCACTCAGTCTGAGGAGACAAGGAGAAATTATCTGGGATTAAATAATAATCCACCCTTCAAATTAAGCTAAGAAAAACAAGAATGCAGTGGATTGTATTCAAAAAATGTAAAGGTCAAAAGACAAAAGTTGATTAATTTATTGTTTAAATAACATTTATATAATCATTGATGCAAGGTAATGGAGAGAAATCTGGTTTCAACAGCATTGAGAACATTGTACCTGAGAGTCGTCAGTTTGCAGTTTGGACTCTTCAGTCCAGCATAAAGAAGCTCCACTGCTGAATCCCAAAGGTTGTTGTGACTCAGGTCCAGTTCTGTCAGACTGCAGGACGGGGAGCTGAGGACTGAGGTCAGAGCTACACAGCTTCTCTTTGAGAGGTTAGAGTAACTCAGTCTGAGGAGACAAGGAGAAATATCTGGAATTAAATAATCAAAAATGATTTTCTTTTCAGTCCCCAATATTCTCATTGGAAAGATTGATGGAGGGTTTTTTTTGCATGTTATTTTTTGTTATGAACTTTTTCATTATAAAAAACTGATAATATTGATATGCATCTAATCATTAGCAGATTTATCATGATTAAAAATAAAAGCAGTAACAATGTGTGTCCTTACAGAGCTTTGTTGGAGGCTTTAACCACTGGCAGCAGCCTCAGAAGAGCCTCCTCTGAAGCAGAGTATTTCTTCAGGTCAAACACATCCAGATCTTTTCCTGATGACACTAAGATGAAACCCAGAGCTGACCACTGAGCAGGAGACAGTTTATCTGTGGAGAGACTTCCTGAACTCAGAGACTGTTGGATCTCCTCCACTAGAGAACGATCATTCAGTTCATTCAGACAGTGGAACAGATTGATGCTTTTCTCTGCAGACACATTCTCACTGATCTTCTTCTTGATGTACTGAACTGTTTCCTGATTGGTCTGTGAGCTACTTCCTGTCTGTGTCAGCAGACCTTGTAGGAGTCTCTGATTGGTCTGCAGTGAAAGTCCCAGGAGGAAACGGAGGAACAAGTCCAGGTGTCCATTTGGACTCTGTAAGGCCTGGTCAACAGCTCTCTGATGGAGATGCCATATTTTTAGCTTCCCCTGAAATGAAGGCTGGTCAAGTATTGTTAGTGTTTCTTCAATTGAAGGCATGTTAGATGTTGGGATTTTTTTTAATGTTGCGATGGACTGGCGACCCGTCCAGGGTGTACACTCCCTCTTGCCTGAGTTCCCTCGCTGAGGATGGGCACCTGCACCTCTCCAGACCCCACTAGGGACAAGGGTGTAAGAAAATGGATGGATGGAGGGATCCATCCATCTAACATCTAACATGCCTTCAAATGAAGGCATGTTAGATGTTAGATTTTCTTCCATTGGGATGACCCCCAGCTGTTGGTATGGACTCTGTAAGGCCTGGTCAACAGTGCTCTGATGAGGAGACTTTAGTTTAGGTGTATTAGGTAATGAAGAACTATATATATTTTTTTCTTCTTCGTTCCTTATTCTTTGTTTCTTGACTCCAGAGTTGATGAAGGTCAGATGAACATGAAGAGCAGCCAGAAACTCCTGAACACTCAGATGGA